AAGACGGTGATTAACAAAAATTGAACCCGATTATTTTAGAAAACAAAAAAACATTAAATAATATTGCCCACATATAAAATTTCTAACAAGAAATTCACGGATACCACCCATAGAATGGTATTTTCAAAAAAAATTACACACAAAAAAAAATTCCAGAAAATTGGATTTTCGAGAAAATTTTGAAAATCTCATATCAAACGTGGATAAATAAGATTACCATATTCAATTCCCCGGAATCCTAAAAACTTCGTATTAGGGGTGTTCGCGGTCTGGATTGGATCAGTTTTGGAAGCAAAAATCATCTGATTCAATCCCTTCGGTTTGATCATGTAATCATCCATTCGGTTTGGATTTTTTTCAAATTCGATCCGATCAAATCCAAAGTTTTTCAGCTTAGATTGGATCGATTTTCGATTTTTTAGAATCCTAAAATTTGTTTCATGATTATTGTGCAAATAACATCTTTTGTATGTATTGGCTTTGTAATTTTTATCTTTTTGAAATACAAAAGTATTAGGAAACTATAATGTAGTTTTTTTTTTTACAATGAGATATGAAGCTCTTCATAGATAAATTTTGTTGATGAGATGTGACTAAAAGTTTTTTCTTGGGTTGAGAAATTTTTGGATTATGATTGGAGAAAGACTCAAATAAGCAGAGGATAATTAATATATTAGATCGGTTTGGATTGGATCGATTTTCATCAATCAATCTGAAATCCGATCCAATTAAATTTTACGGGTTTTTTTTTTCGATTTTTCGGTTATCGATTTTTCGGTTCGATCACGGTAACATCCCGCGAATTTAGGAAGTTATATAATTTAGTTAGGAACATGGAAGCTTGCCTTGAACTCGAAATATAAATACATACACATATATATATATATATATATATATATATATATATATATATATATATATATATATATATGGGTGGACTCAATTCAAGTCATGAAAAATTATGTTAAATATAACCTTATTGGCCGAAAATCACCCACTCCCTTATCCCCTCTCATTACACGCTTGGTAGGTGTCAAAACAGTATGATTTTCTTGCTGGACCTTGGGGGATCAGAATGCAAGTAGGGACGAAGTCAGCCCCGTTAACAACTTAAATTATTCAAACCTAAGTAAAATAGGTTGCGATTTGTTGAAGTGTAATTAGGTGAACCCAAACTCTGGCCAAAAACCAAGACTTATCACCCCTCTCTACTTCGGGTTCATGTGCAGTCTAGGAGAATACATGTATTTACAAAAAAAAAAAAAAATACATGTGTGACAAGTCAGAATTTGTTTCTATGTTATTCCCATAATTTATCAACAAGTTTTTATGCTTCTAATTCTTATTCTGTAATCGGTTTTCATAGCTCCTACACTAGATTAATTTTCTGACTTCAGTTAACATATCAATTGTTAACAGCGAAGCAAATCAAGTTCCCTCATGCATTCAGGTTCAATTTAGGTTGGCATAGAAACAAATTCTGACTTGTCACACATGTATTTAGGTGCGCATAACTCCTAGGGAGTGGACTGAAATTTGGTGCTGTTTGGTTAGCACTTGGACACACAATGTAAGTGTTTGGTGGTATTACCTAATGTGACTATTTGCTAGCGTATAGAATTGTGAATTGTTGCTCACACGTGCCTTGGATTAATGTGCTGTTATATGCTATATGTATGCTGCCTATGAATGTGACAAGATGAAAAATTCTGTTATGAGAAGTAATTGTTATGTGGCAGTTGGTACTGAAAGTACATGAAATATATGATATTATGATGATGATCTAGTCATGCATATACACTTCATAATTCATTTGTTTCTTGTTTGTGTGAAAAGCATATCATGGCATACATGCACGAATTTCATGCTGCTCATGGACTAGGATAATTATATAAATATGCATACGTTTGAGCACGCATCATATAGGCATCCCTTCGGTACCAGGGTATGGGACACTTGGCTTCCGTCTGCATAGGCCACAGTTGGAATTCACCTTTGAGGAGCCATAATGGAATATCCACTGTGTATGTTAGTACGTGCACGACGGTGCTATGAACGTACAAGGAAATGACGTTATATACGCACTAACAAGGAAATAAATGACGTTATATACGCACTAACAAGGAAATGACGTTATATACGCACTAACAAGGAAATGACGTTATATACGCACTATTATGACTATTATGAATATACATGACCATGGCGTTATATGCGCAATAAGATGATGATTAACAGCTGTACGGAATTTTAAATGTTGATGCAACTGTTTTGGAATTCTGTGTCTAGTTTAATATTGTTGCATTATTGGTTTTGCTATCACACTACTGGAATTTTTCTCACCCCTTCGGGGGCTCAATTTTCATAAATTGCAGGAGTACGAAAAGGCATTTGAGGATGTACTTGTATTGAAGATGTCTTGTTTATTGCAGCTGTCGTTTTGGGAATTTTGATGTTGACATGCTATTTATGTTAATTGTTGGTTGATCGCTATAGTAGGCTGTAATATTTATTTTTGAGATGTTGTAAGAAAATGTTAGGGTATGTTTTAATTGCTGTATTTGGGTTTTGGGGTCTGTTTGTAACTTGTGAAATTCTAGTATTATTTAGCAAAATAATTCATGTACGTTTTCAAGTCTGAATTTTTAAACTACTTCCGCGAGTACCTTGCGAGTTCGGTATCTGGGGCTATAGACCTTCGAATGACACATATTTTATATGCACGCGAAGTCCCAGATGTCTAGTTTCATATTATATAAACTTTACAATGAAATTCTGAAAGTCCGATTTATTATGATTTTTGCAATTCAGGTCGTTTTGAAACACTTTCACTGATTTATCTTTCATCTTACGAGTTCTGTTTCGAGAGGCTAAACACCTCCGAATGAAACAATTTTTATATGCACGTAACGCCCTGGATGTCTAGTTTCCGTGTGTCAAAGAAAGTTTTTTTAAGTTGTTGAACTCGAATTGATATGATTTTTTTAAGACAGCAAGGTTTTCTGAAAAACTGTAATTTCAGCCAGTTATGTATTTTCACGAGTATTATTCTGATTTTTTTTGTACAACCAGACTTTAATACCTACTAATGTATTGTGATTCCAAAGTGCGCTTTAATTAATTTAAATTATTTTTGTCACTACTCTAATCCGCTTAGCATATAACTCCCTTGGACGCGTACAGGGGAGGGTGTCACAATCACCGTAATTTGAATCAATTTGAATTGATTGATAAACATTCTACTTCGTAACAAACGCCTCATAACTTCTATGAACTATCAAACCCACTTAGAAATCTTTTAAAAGATTCTTCGGACGCATAATCCTTTTGGACTAAATGGGGAATAAGGCCATCATATCAAATCCTTTTTTTTTGCGTCATACACTAAATGAAGGATCACTCTTCACTAATTGATTTGTGACATAATTAACAATGAATGTTCATGAACAGTAAGTCTATCCTTGTTATTATCTTCAAACTTTTTTGAATGATAAAATTGCACTTTATTATCCAACTACTATTACTCAAAGTTAAGTAATAAAAAAGCACAATATGATACTATACGTAGTAATTTATATGAGATTTCGGGTTCTTTTCAGTGCCATTATTGTATTAAAAAAATGTGACACGTAATCAAAAGGGAACAACTCATCACACTAGCATTTCAACTTTCAAGTACTAGTTGATTAAAATAAGGGAAAAACTCCTTGTGATTTGTTTTAGAATTATTTATGTTTTTGTGATTTTTTTTTTATTACATATGTTCTTGTGATTTGTAAAAATCAAAAAAACATAGGGGTATATGCGATAAAAAAATCATACCCTTTTACAAATTACGGGATATATGTGATAAAAAAAATCACAGAGACATATATGATTTTGGAATAAATCACAGGGGCATGAGTGGACTTTTCTCTTAAAATAAATGATAACATATCAAACTTTTGGTTTTTATATAGGGACTAATATTTTTTATTTTTAAGGATATAAAGTTGTGTCATCTTAAACGAAAGAAAGATATAGATAATGGAAATCATAGGAGAAGAGAGTGGAATTTTTTTTAATTTAAATTTTAAATAAAAATATTACTAGTTAAAAGAATCGTTATTTAAAAGGATGATTATTTTTTCCATTTATATATAATATATAAAATCGACTTTTAATGGCATCATGAATGTGAATAAGTTGGTCATGCACTCAAAAGTCAAAGTCATAAGGTAACTGAATAATATAAATTAACTAACAACTGAATCATAAACATGGAATGAACCTGTCTTAGATGAATCCAATCGAATTGCTTGCCTTAGTTGATAACGCTAACAACGTGTTGTGTGTTTACCACTGTAGAGAGGTGTTAATCAACGGCACAAATAAACTATGTTTGCCCTCCAAAGTAGGACACCAAGATTTTCCGTTGTTCAGACTTTAGAAGCTTAGAAAAATGTTTTGAGTATTCACTCATGCCCCCACCAATTAAACAAGAGAAAAAACGTGTATCATATTAAAGGATATAAAATTATGTCATTTTAAATGAAAGAAATAAATAAATTACAAGAAGAGAAAATAGACAAAATAAATTAAAAGTATGAGTCTCACTTTCTTTATGAGAGTAAAATAACTTGTATCATTTAAAAGAATAAACATTTTTTCCCTTTACTAATGATTTTTTTTTTTGAAGTTTGAACTTTTCCAATTCCCATTTCCATGTCGAAACAATTAGCCAATCAAATTTCAAACATATTTTCTTCCATATTCATTTGTTTTTCTTCTTTTTTCCTTCCAACCGCGTTAACATTTTTGAGCACTTTTGTACCAAGAAATGAAGGCACTCAGAACCTGTAAGCGCCGGTATTCCGCATGAGCTTTGTACACGTCGTCAGTGGGACCAAGTTGACCTGGGTATGTTATACAGAAAAAAAAAAAAAAAGAGATCGATCCATTTCCTTACCCTGAATCTTTGTTCTTCTTCTTCTTCTTCTTTGAAGCTTCAAAATCAAAGAGCTTCTTCATAAAAGGAAAAACCTTTCCCTCTCTTACCTCATAAAAATCTCAACTTTCAGTTAAGTTTTTTCATTTTCTTATACACCCACTTTTTGTATTATACCAATCTTTTAAAAGTTCCATAAATTTTGGCGATCAGTCTCAATTTATCATCCTTCAAGGCCTGAAAATTTTGTCTTTTTATTTGTTCTCTCTTTTTTTATTCTGTTGTGTACAATTACTTTCTTTTTTGCTGATTCCATTTGGGGTATCTTCCATGACCCTAGTGTGCACTAAAGATCAAATTTTTAATAGTTTTGCATGATCAATTTTGAGTTCAATTCTGAGTTCTAATTAATGGACAATTATGGGTCTTCATCACCATATGGGTATCCAAACCCATATTTATACCCTGGCAACACTCCTCCATATCCACCTCCAGCTTCAGGTGCTGATCCATATGCACCTACTCCTTATCCATATCCACCCAATCCTTCACATTCCTTCAACTATTCCAATCCACAACCTCCTCCACCACCCTCCTCCTCAGCCCCTTATCCTAGCCACATAGACTATTCCTACCCCCCACCTCCTCAACCATCTTATACTTATCCTTACCCTTACCAAGTTCCTCCAACTAGTGATAGTTCAAACCCTCCTCATAGTTCTGCTTACCCTCCTTTGGATGATCTTATGAGCAATGTTAGGTTGTCTGATAATCAGCAAACTGCAACTGCACCTCCTGTGCATCTATTCACACATTCTATTTCAGTTACAGATCATGAGAGGAGAGAGGAGTTTCATGGCTATTCTAGTAACTCCTTCTCTGGTTTGGGATCCTCCTACCCTGGTCAGGGGGATTCTTCTAAGCTTTCAGCTTATTCTGGCTCATTTGATGACTCAGTGCATAGTCAGAGTTTGCAGATTGTTCCAGCACAGGACAAAGGGTCTTTGAGGGTTTTGCTCCTGCATGGTAATTTAGATATATGTGTTCATGGAGCCAAAAATCTTCCCAATATGGACATGTTCCATAAAACTCTAGGGGATATGTTTGGTAAGTTACCTGGTAATATGGGAAGTAAGATTGAAGGGACAATGAGTAAGATTACCAGTGATCCTTATGTATCAATTTCTGTATCAAATGCTGTTATTGGGAGGACTTTTGTGATTAGCAACAGTGAGAACCCTGTGTGGGAGCAACATTTTTATGTTCCTGTTGCACATCATGCTGCTGAAGTGCACTTTCTTGTTAAGGACAGTGATGTGGTGGGTTCACAGCTCATTGGGATTGTGGCAATTCCTGTGGAACAAATATACTCAGGGGGAAAAGTACAAGGGACCTACCCTATCCTGAATAACAATGGGAAGCCTTGTAAGCCAGGTGCTATCTTGAGTCTATCAATTCAGTACATTCCAATGGAGAAACTGAGTTTTTATCATCAAGGAGTTGGAGCAGGACCTGACTATATTGGGGTTCCTGGCACATATTTTCCATTGAGGAAAGGTGGAACTGTTAATCTCTATCAAGATGCACATGTTCCAGATGGTTGCCTCCCCAATGTGAGGCTTGACAATGGAATGTATTATGCTCATGGAAAGTGTTGGCTTGACATCTTTGATGCTATTCGTCAAGCTCAGCGTTTGATTTACATTACTGGGTGGTCAGTGTGGCACCAAGTTAAGTTGGTAAGGGATGCTGGTCATGCATCAAATTTCACACTGGGTGATCTTCTGAGGTCTAAGTCACAGGAAGGAGTACGAGTTCTTCTCCTTGTCTGGGATGACCCCACGTCAAGAAGCATTCTCGGTTATAACACAGTAAGTAGTGCAATTTTTTCATGTTACCTATTATTGCATTTCTGTGTTTGGTGAGAACTATGAGTGTAAATGAGTTAGGGCAAGCCAAACTTTAGCCTATGTAAAATATTTCAAATTTGACTTATCTTGTTAGCCTTTTACAAAACAAATTATAGATTTGGCCTGATTTATTTTTAAAAAATACAAGGCTTGACTTGGCCTATCAAGCTTACCAAGCCTTCGAAAATGATATATTGCACATTGAAAATTATAGGTTATGATTACTTTGTTTCTTTTGTATATTTAAGTTAATGGAAATTCAAAATAGTACAAAACATGAAGCCATACCCCAATCCAAAATATTAACAATTTAACTATGTTGCCGGAAATCATAAGATATTATTTTATTAAAAAATAATAAAGTATTATTTATTAAAATATACAAGCTGGACCTGGAGGCTTAGAGGTCAGGCCTTTTAAAATAGGCTTGTGGCTTGATTTCGAAAGAGGCATTTTAATGAATTCAAATCTGTACTATTTTTAAAAACATCATGCTTACAGCCCCTGACAAACCGCCTGATGCATTTACACCTCTAGTGAGATCAGAAGAAGGTAAAAATTGTTGAGGTGTAGATTATATATTTACATAAGGGAAAGTGGGGAGATCAATTCTCTAACACATTTTTCTTTGTTACAAGTTCTATACCTACTAATAAGAAGTCTGTTTCTCTCCTTCCAATGGTTGATGATGGCCCTGAATAAATCAGAGCTATCTTTGAATCGAAACTTTTTACAGTTGGATTTAGGACTTTTTAGTTCTTGGCTTGTGATTTGATTCATCTAGAATCATCTGCTTATAATTTGTCATAAATCATACAACAACAGTTAACTTGTTATTGCCCTTGTCTAAATGTTTATTTTAATGTTGTATGTAGCCTAGCAAAGCCATTCTTTTGTCATGTGTTAAAACTTTTTCTAACGTGATCTATGAAGTTTAGTTTATTTCAAGTATGATTAAGATTCTTGAACAAGTTTCTTTTTTCTAAGGATCTTTCTTAGTACTATGGATATGATTTACTCTCTTATTTTAATCATGCAAAAATCTTCTGCTTTATATTCAGGATGGTGTCATGGCAACTCATGATGAAGAAACTCGACGATTTTTCAAGCACTCCTCTGTGCAAGTGCTGCTTTGTCCTCGCATTGCCGGAAAACGACATAGCTGGGTCAAGCAAAGGGTTCGATTTGACAATGACTCTACTTATTCGAATATTTTACTTCACTTCACTACTAGATTCCTTGCATTATTAAGATTTTAGCTGATTGTCTCCTTTCACAATTCTATGTATTTTATGATGCACATGTTAATGCTGATAGGGTGATCATGAATGTCAGAATTTATGACAAGGTTCAGTTTTGCTAGCTGTTATATCTACACACTTGCATTGGATCTCTATATCTTTTCACATCTATAATTTTGGTTCCAGATTTCCTCATTAAATTTCTTCTTCTAATTATCAGGAAGTTGGAACAATATATACACATCATCAGAAAACTGTAATTGTGGATGCTGATGCTGGAAATAACAGAAGAAAAATCATAGCATTTGTTGGTGGACTTGATTTGTGTGATGGGCGATATGATACTCCCAACCATCCTCTCTTTAGGACACTGCAGACATTTCATAAGGATGACTATCACAACCCAACTTTCACGGTAATCTCTTATTTTCAGATCCCTATTTGGTTGCATGATCACTACATTTCTCCATCAATCATTTGACAAGTCATGAATGAACAGCAGTGTAAGTAGAATAAAGCTACAAAACATAACTCCAAGTTTTAGTAGTTGCGGAAGTCAAATTATAATCAAGAAATGTTTCTGCATTCTTGTATGGGGAAGATTAAAGGGATTGTTTCGAAGTGCAAGTTGTGTGGATGTTCAGTTCAGCACAAACTGCATAACTAACACTGCCAGCGATATGTAAAACCTATTATATAAGGTGTTGTTGCTATCTATCTGACCTTTCAATGTGTCAGATTAATTATTTCTTGCATGTCTAAAACTTTCCTGCAAATTTATGACAGAGATGTTCTCCAATTTTTGCTTTAGAATCAAACAATTCAAATTCAATTTTAAAACAAAGTTTGAAAAAAGAAAACCAATATATTCTGAAGATGTGGGTTATTTAATGACAGGGTAATGTTGGTGGTTGTCCCCGGGAGCCATGGCATGACTTGCATTCTAAAATTGATGGTCCAGCAGCTTATGATGTTTTGACCAACTTTGAGGAGCGCTGGTTAAGAGCTGCAAAGCCTCAAGGGATAAAAAAATTGAAGACTTCATACGATGATGCGTTGCTTAGGCTAGAAAGAATCCCGGATATTATCCACATGTCGGATGCTCCTAGTGGAGGTGGTGATAATCCTGAAGCTTGGCATGTTCAGGTATTTAGTCAATTAGTACAGAATAGATATTAAGAATTTTTATAAGCAATTTATTTTTCCCATTTCCACTACTAAAGGAAGCTGTTGATTGTGTGTAATTCGGAATGCAGATATTTCGTTCAATTGATTCAAATTCTGTTAAGGGGTTTCCAAAGGAGCCAAAAGATGCATCAAGCAAGGTGCATGGAAGATCTTAGTGTTTCTGAGTTTTCTTTTTCATGTGTGATTTCAATTCATCAGACTTGAGCCACCTTATTTGTGACTATGAGAATGTTAAAGATTACTGTGTTTTTACAGAACCTAGTATGTGGGAAGAATGTGCTGATTGACATGAGCATACATACAGCATATGTAAAGGCCATTCGTGCTGCACAACATTACATTTATATAGAGAATCAATATTTCATTGGGTCTTCATACAATTGGAATCAAAATAAAGACATTGGTATGGAACTCCTCTTTCTTAACACGTGTTTCTTGTTGTTTCAAGAACTCTTTTTTCGTATATTCACACTGTTTTATTGTTTGTAGACAAAGATCACTGAAATATAAATCCTTGTAGTTTCTATTTAAAAGTTAACAATTGAGGATTCAACAATTTAATATAAATCCTTGTAGTTCCCATTTATTAAATGTTTAGTACCTTTTATACATTCATGACATGCCTCAATCCATCACCTGTGTCTTTTCCATGTTCTTTATTTTTGGCTACATTGATGGCATGGAGTATTGAACCTGTTGAGATATATAAAATCATTAATGTAGCCTCATCTAACAGCTTAAGCTTTTGGGTTGAAGTGGTTCTTTACATGGTATCTGAGCATCGTGTCCCGGGTTCGATCCTCACCGCCCCCACTTTCTCTTGTGGAATTTTCTTAGTACAGATAGGTGAGCCTGTGCATTATCCACCCTTCAAATCCAGTGGGCTCTCGTATAAGGGGGCGTGTTGAGATATATAAAATCATTAATGTAGCCTCACCCAACAGCTTAAGCTTTTGGGTTGAAGTGGTTCTTTACAGAACCTATAACCTCCAATAAACTATCCCAAGTCCCTCACCACTCAACCACTCCGAGTGGCTTTTCTCTATCACGGACTGTGTAAAGATGAAGAATTAATTGGGCTGATTAGATTTATTTTAAAGATCTCATTTTGATGTTAAAACTTTCATGCTTTTGCAGGTGCTAATAATTTAATTCCAATGGAAATTGCGCTGAAGATTGCTGAAAAGATAAGGGCAAAGGAGAGATTTGCAGTGTACATCATTATTCCAATGTGGCCAGAGGGGGTTCCAACAGGGGCTGCGACCCAAAGGATTCTATTTTGGCAGGTACGCAGCGTATGCTTCAACTCACAATATGAAATACAAGTTTCTTTTTTTGGCAAGGATTTGATTGAACTTCCAGATTATTCTACTTGGAAACCTGCTTAATAAATTGAGATTTTGAACACCCGGTTGACCTGTTGATTTCTCTACTCACCATAACAAAATAAATGACTAAAATTATGTGATGCTGGAACAACTTTTAAGTGGGTTGTAGTTATGTGACTTTTGGCCCAGAATCTTCCCTAAAATTCAAGAACTATGCCGTTGTCATTGCTCTGACATGTTTTAGTCGAAGAGGTAATAATGCTCCCCAAAAAAATGAATATAACTTTTTTTTCCTAATTTGTTTAAATGGCAAGACCCAGGTTCTTCATCTCAATTTGCTGCATGAAATACTTGAAATCATGTCTTTGAGCTTTTCAATTGGTTCACAGCTGGATTTGTTCACTCTGGCACATCAAGTTGCATATAAGCTCTATTATAGTTATATTAGATCATTTTGCCACTTTATCCTCCTATCCTTTCTGTTGTAGAGCAGGTGGCTGGTTTTGCCAACAACTAAGCCTTATCCCACTAGTTCGGTTCGGCTGCACGGATCTATCAAAAACCAAAATTTCAATAAAATCATTTAGAGTAAGATATTTTAAGTGGCTCCTAAAGTTTATTCAGTCTTCCTCTACCCCTTCTGATTGGACTGTGTTTCATGTGATCCATTTTTCTCACTGGGGCTTCTATCGGTGATCCATATCAAAAGATTCGACGAAGTTTTGTGTTAGCTACTTCATGTTGACTGCTTTTAACTAAAAGATTGTAGTGTATAGTGCAAGCTACATTTCAAAAGCAAAACCGAAAGAAGATAGAGGCTCGGAGTTGAAATATGACAAATCATTATGTAATTTAGATGTCAGAAAATATCACTGTGATCATCAATAATTTTTTAAAGAGCAATAAAAGATGCTTTATTGTTATCATTATTATTTCATCATTCCAAACTAATGTGAGGTGTCGTGGAAAAAGAAAGTGGACTCAAATTATTCCAGAAATCAGAGATCAAAACTGCTTGTCAAATGAGTAGTAGGGCTCAATTGTTCAGAAATCCTGGCTGCTTGATGTCAAAATGAACAATATAGCACCTGTGAGTACTTGGTTCTTGCATTTCATACTCTCTATTTTTTTCCTTTTTTCAGAATAAAACAATGCAAATGATGTACGAGACAATTTATAAGGCTTTGGTTGAAGCTGGGCTTGAAGCAGCATATTCTCCACAAGACTATTTGAACTTTTTCTGTCTTGGCAATCGGGAGGCCATTGATATGCATGAGAATATCCCTGTGTCTGGAACTCCACCCCAAGCAAATAGCCCACAAGTATGAATTCTATGCACCCTCTCCATTGTTGTACCCTTCCCAGTTACTTTTTTCTGCAGCCATGGTGCCATGAATGTAAATCTCTTACTGCGAAACAGTCCATATAAAATTATAGATATCCTGTAACAATAAGTTAAAAATTAAATACTGCTTCCAGATAGCTCTTTATTTTGTTAGCATGTAAACTGCTACCTGCCCCTCAAAAGGTGAAAAACTGTTATATTCTCTATCAAAGTGTCTTAATTTTTTTTAGCTTGATTTCCTGAAACGCATGGCTTGTAGGTAGGACTAGTGTTCTGACAGTTATTATAAGCATCTCAATCATGTTATGTTCCATGCAATCTCCATTTAATGAATGCAATTGTAATATGCTTGTCTTCTTTGTTAAGGCAAATAGTCGAAATAGCCGGCGTTTCATGATTTATGTTCATTCAAAAGGCATGATAGTTGATGATGAATATGTGATATTGGGATCTGCAAACATCAACCAGCGCTCTATGGAAGGAACAAGGGACACTGAGATTGCAATGGGAGCCTACCAACCTCGTCATACCTGGGCAAGAAAACATTCTTATCCACATGGACAGGTAAGCTTTCTTAAGTTACTGACTTCTCAGATTTGCTGAAGAAGCCATTGTTCATATAACCAAATTTAAGTTTCTATAATGGCATTCAAGCTTTTTTTTCTCTGTTCTTATCTTATTTGTTTTAGACAACTTTCTCCACATGGCAGTAGCTACAATAGTGTTAATTCTACATTTTTGTAATCTTAACATGTAAACTTATCTGGAAAATATCTTCGGTGCTCCTGTAGTACAGAAAACTCAGTATATCATTTACTAAATTTGGAAAAAAGTAACATAATCAACTTTTCCTAATTTACCCACCATTTTATGGTTATTGTTATCTAAGTCCCATTTTTTCCTACTTTTGGTAAAGTAGTACATACAATTGTAGTACCAAAGATACGTTCCCTTATCTGATTGCAATTCTTTGTGAAACTATACTATGTAGATCCATGGATATAGGATGTCACTTTGGGCAGAACATACAGGCACAATTGAAGACTGCTTCTTACAACCAGAGAGTCTGGAATGTGTGAGAAGGGTTAGAACAATGGGTGAACTGAACTGGAAACAATTTTCAGAAAATGAAGTAACAGAGATGAGAGGGCATCTACTCAAGTACCCAGTAGAAGTTGATAGAAAGGGTAAGGTTAGGTCACTTCCTGGCCAAGAAGAGTTCCCTGATGTGGGAGGAAAAATAGTAGGATCATTTATTGCCATTCAGGAAAATCTAACCACTTGATGAGTTCTTTTCTTTCACATATACCGGATAGCATGAATGTAAATTACAAAATACAAAAACAATTTTGAAACATCATTTTAGGTTACACTCTTTATTTTCTTGTATACATACAAACCACTTACTCCGGGAACATTATTGTATTGTAAAATTGTAATCTAGAGTGCTCTTAAGTTTGGTTTGAAATCATGATCCGGGATTTATTCTGTTACTTGATTTTAGTGATTATATATGGATCTGTTATTCAATTTGTCTTTTAAGTATTACTATTTTTCCTCCCTTACCAGATGTTACAAGTTTTTATTTACTTATTTTTTCTTGATTAATTGCATAATTTCACAAAACTCCCAAAACTCTGAGCTTCTATTAAGTTATGTCGCACCGACATGGGACACGATACGACATTCCGATATGTTAATTTTAAAATGTTAGATTTTGATATGTTAGGACAAGTTTTAATAGTAAATAATATTTTTAATTTATGTAGTGTATATTATATTTAATATTCAATAATTTAACAAAAAAAATGGAGTTAAACTTATAGTACCCATTATCTTGCAGGGTTATGGGGCTTGATTAGAGACTCTCAATGACACTTGTAAATTTTCCACCTGAATTTATATTCCATTCCATTCTGAAAAAGAGCCACTAAAAATGTGTACAATTAAGTTATTGGGATTAAGAGATGGTATAACTTTCTATTTCTCTAAACTGTTTTTAATCAAAAATAATTAAAGAGTAAACTAAACAGACATCTTAATCCTGAAAATTATTCCGCATTTCCAATTAAATTCCAAATTTATTTAAGTATAGGTTCAACATCAACAACACCTTTATCCCAAATTAATTGGGGTCGGTGGTAGATGAACCCACATGAAAGATACAAAACGGTTGAAAAAAAGTAAAAAATAAATAAAAAATAAAAAATAAATAAATAAATAAATAAAAATACACAAATAAAATAATAAAATAAAATAAAATGAAATATAAATATATGTATATATAAATAAATAAAAGTAAAAAAGAAAGGGACAAGAAGAAGTGGGGGAAATGAAGGGGAAAAGGACTAAAAAAGGACCATCCGGAACATAGGAATAACAGCGAGTCTAACCCTCCACCATACTTATAGCTTTTCTCCATTCCTTTCTAAGACATACTGTCCGCCAATCTATATCCCACTCCATTAAATCTTGTTTTACTACTTTCCCCCAAGTAAGCTTCGGCCTACCTCTGCCTCTTTTTGTGTTTAGCTCTTGGTAACAAATTTCTGTTCTTACAGGAGCATCCATGGGTCTTCTCATCACGTGCCCAAACCACCTCAATCTATGTTCTCTCATCTTCTCGGCTACCGGTACTACTCCGACCTTTCGTCGAATATCTTCATTTCTTATCTTATCCATCCTTGTGTACCCACACATCCACCTTAACATCCTCATCCACCTATATTTAAGTATAGGTTAGTCTTTGAAATTTTAAAACTCGCACTAAGTGAATTCTTTTATTGTATCTAATTCACCAAATTAATGGTAACACTTGACTTGACCTGGTGGCAAAAGTGCTTACATGTACTGCTAAATGTGACATTAGCACATTACTCAATCCTTCCTATTGAAATCAGTTACATTTATAGTTTGAATATCATATGATTCAATTATAATTTAGTCACAATTTTATTCAATTAAAATTAAGGGTTATATTACTCATGTTGCAGAGAGTAATATAACTTTCTACATACTCATCGATTCTTGTGTTTCTCTTTTTTCATTTTTATATTTTTAATAAATAGTGATACTCACCACATAATTATATCTATAACATGAAATAACATATCTCCTATACATAAGAGTAATATAATCCTTGAATTAATTGAACCATAACTTGAAAGTCTCAAATGTTTAATTTCTAGTTTACTTTTTATAACAATACCATGGACCCAAGCCTACTCAGAACTCTAAACAACGTTTCATCCACAAAGTTGGGCCACTCCTCATTCTTTAGATTTTAGGTCAATACAACGGGACCAACCAAGGGATAGCTAATATTCCAGCATATTCTCTGCTACTACATTGGCTATTCTGTAAATTTTTGTGAAATCCAATTGTAGATTAATCTGCAAAAGTCAAGAGTTTTCATTTGCAGATAATGCCTCATATTCCTGGAGGACTTGTAACTATTTAACATATTTCAGATAGGTGTCCAATATCACTCACTTATATCAATCCATGCAAAACACAAATTTTGTGGCAAAATTGTATGATTTGATACTAAATGAAACAAATTACAACTACCCTTTGAATTTTGTGTATTCTTTGAATATTTTTGCTCAAGTAAAATTATATTGTTCTTAACTCCCCTGCTATAAAAATTAATCTCTTCGCAAGGTACTACATTATGACATTTGACAAGCTTTCCAAACAATGGTGGAGCTAGGGAGGGCGATTGCGCCCTCAATGTCATCATATCTTTATCTTAGACTACATTCAAACATACAAGAAAAATCGTGTAGCATATATCTATCCTCTTTCTTTCTTATTATTCTTCATATACGAAGAAAACGTGTAGAGGTCTTCAAATTTGGTTACGTAATGATTCACTATCGTGTTGTTCTGACTAAGCCAGTGTGAATTTTGTTTTCCTCGCTCTCTCTCAATAAAATTCCTCACTCCGCCATTGCTTGTATTAGATCAAGCATTTATCACTAAGCCAAAAATTATAACTATTAATTAAAATGCAACTCTTTTTATTTATTCCTATCGTCCCAAACATTATGATTCGATTTGAATCCAACTCCACATTGGGTCTTGCCAATGTAGGATGATAACGCCACTCCAATAGCTTGAAATGAAAAATTTAATTGATCTTTTTTTATTTACAGCACTTTCCACACTCGAAATTTATATCCACAAAGAAGCAATAGAGGAATAAGAGGTTCAATGTGACCTTACTCTCTTCTCAAACAACTACACCATATCCACTCTCTTCCAGAATAGATTCCTAACAACTACTCAGAAGTTGGCCATATAAAATGTGTCAATCATTTCATTCTTTAAAGGTAGAGATGATCCGGACCGTTCATTTATCCGCGGCTACATTTTCTAATGGGGTCTCCGTGGTCCACCATAATGTGTTAGGCCAATAGGCCCCATTATGGTGAAGCCATTTGAGTTTTGGTCCCTCCTCCAGCATTTTGTTTTCTTTGTAGAATAATTGTATTTTCATCAACTTTCCAATTAAATAAAGAATTTTATTAATCTCATATTAAAGGAGATAGTTATCTCATGTTATAGAGATAAACTAATGGACTTCACTACCTAAAAAAAGAAAAAGAAAATAAAAAATAACATAATTATCGAAGGATGTGTAGGAAAAAAAATTTATATCATGTAATATAAGAATAGTTTTTCCCTTATATAAAACTCTTGATTAATGTTTTGTCAGCAAGAAGTGAAGGGTGCAAAATGAGAAGGCTATGTCCAATTAATCATGTTTAGTGTTACTGTTTAAAATGAGATAAAAATATGTGCCAACATTTGTAACACATTACCTTTGGAAAAAATTTGCACAAAAAGTTCAAACATGATAAAACTAATAATATTTAATTAAATTCATTAAAATATTTGAATAACAGAATCAAGTGCGTTCTCTTTATCCTTTATGCAGTGTATGTCGTCATGTGTCTCTCGAGTATTTCTCAAAAAGAGGTTCCCTCTTCTTAGTTTTAGTGGAAGCTCTATCCGTTTCTTTTTATTTATATTTATATTTTGCATTAGTTTCTTCAATATTTTTATTCAAATCTTTTAAATATGTGATTAAGTTTAGTTTTGTGTTTTTTGTATTTATCTCATATTATAGCAGATTTTGAGTTTTTTAGCTTTTGATTTTTGTATATTGACGTAATAGTCGTACCATCTTCATGTGACAATATACTTTATTTGTCGGTTTTATAATAAAAGATACATTATTATCAATAATTGTTATTAATCATGCGTTGATACCTCATTTAATTAATATGATTATTAATACTTATAAAAAATATAAGGTTTTACTGTAGATAACTTATGTATATTGAGCACAAAATGATGTTGTTTTGAGACGAAAATCAAGGTATTTTTTGTGATTATAATTTATTTCAAAGTTATAATAGTATTTTTTATTATTTTTATAATTTTTCAACCCAAAATGATATTATTTTGAGAGAAAATGTAAACTTATTTATATTCACTGTAAAATATTAAAGCCTAAAACATAATTCTATTAAAAAATATGATAACACATTATGAAATAAAAAGCTAAAACAAAAATTATATTATAATAATACATTAAAATTAGGGGCAGATTATATTTATAAATTTTTTTGTTTACAAACTACACTAAGTACGACCGGTCCTACTTTAATCATGCAGTGTACGACCGGTTGTACTTAGTGTAATTTGCAAAAAAAAATTATAAACGGATCCTATCCCTTAAAATTAAATTATTCATTTATCGTATCAAAATCAACATATTGTATCTACTGCATCAAAATCAACAATGGATGGTACTTATTCATGCTTATCATTACTTGATGATTATGCCATACCCTGTCACTACTACTGAAATTAAAAAAGAAAACTTGTAGATAGAATGAAATTTACTTTTTGAATATGTTTTTTAAAAGCATTCAGAAAGGCCATACCTTTCTGTGGGTCTTACAAAAAGGGTTGATAGATAACTAAGCATTTGATGTATAATCAATCCATATAGAAATTATTCGTTTTTAGGGCAAAATGGACCAGAGATATGATATCAAATAAGAATGTTAAGGTATCTATAGAAGAATGTTTATGTTATAATGGAATAATAAGATCGCGCAAGTCCCAGCTAATAGCTGTTTTGTCCTTACGCCTGTTTCTTAATGCACAAACCATGTTTTTTCCCACTCAAAATTTGATTAAATAAATAACGAATTCGTTTTTTCTGCAGTTAATATAGATAAGTTATTTACATTGAGCTCAAAACGACGTCGTTTTAGGGAGGAAAAACCATGTATTTTTATAAGTATAATTTATTTGAAGATCGTAATAGTCTTTCTTCTTATAAATTTTTAATTTTTGAGGAGGGATATTCTTACTACCAAAATCTTCTACTACTAACTCACTACCTATCTAATCACCATTGGATCGACATTTTCTCTTTTTTCAAAAATTTTTTAGCATGCTCTCTCTTTGATTCAATGGTTATTAGATAGGTAGTAAGTTAGTAGTAGAAAATTTGGGTAGTAAGAATATTCTTCCTCTTAATTTTTTAACCTAAGACGACGTTATTTTGAAAGTGGCTATAGATAACTTATCTACATTCATTGTAGAAACATCAAAACCATAAATAAATGCCACCAAAACTCAAAGTATGATTCTCTTATGATAAACATATTCTAATTCTAATATTCATGGGTATATATTTTCAAAGAACTTAAAAACTGAGGTTTATGTTCGCTATATCCTTACTTATCCGAAACCAAAAAGATCAAAGCTTTAACCTTGTGGAGAAGGTAAACTGAGAAGATTTATGGGTAAAAGATTTTTCCAGTCAATAGAAATAAGTTATCTTCGGTGAGTCCAAAACGATGTCGTTTTAATCAGAAATTAAGGTATTTTTGTAATTTTAATATATTGCAGGTTATAATAATCTTTATCATCATAATTTTTTAATCTTATAATCCCAAAATGACGACGTTTTGAGCTCACAGGAGATAATTTTATCTCCGATGACTAGAGAAATACTTTTCTCAAGATTTATACATAGAAATTATCATCATCATGAGTAATATAAAAATGGGATATTGTTTCTTTTGTTCCATGAAACTATTTGCCTCATGCAACACATACACACAAAAGTGAATGAAACTCATTAAGAGAAGATAAAAAAATAAAATAAGTGGGTCACATTCATTTTTTCGTGTGTTATATAAGATAAATTATCTGACGTTATATGAGAAACAATATTTCCGTATAAAAAATCAAAAAGTGAGAATTCTAGCTAGTTAATTATAGTGGCTAGTTATTAGAAGTTTTAAAACTTTTCTTCTCTGGGCTCATTTGGGAAACAAAGTAAGAAGTAGTATTAGTTTATGGCAATTATGAATATTCTAGGTTATTTTCTCTGTTGCTAAAGGAAAAAGCAAATTTACACGTATGTTATAATATAATATATGTCTTTATATGTGTGTCACTAAATATCTCAAATTAGAGAAACAAATAGGATAAAATTCTCTTTGTCTCTCTGTCTATTCCTAAGAGTTATTGAAGTTAGACTTAATCTGCCACTAGAGAGACAAAGACAAACATCTCCGTTTGGTTTCTCTCATCAGCAAAGGATCTAAAGCCCAAATCAACATCCTCATTATTTAGCACACATCCGCAAGTTTCGATTTTTAAGAGAAATGTATCATTTTATAGAATATCACATTGACATTCGAACTTGAAGATTTGATTTAAATACAAATAGTAACATCTAGGAAACAATAGAAATATCATATCCCAACCTTCTAAAAAAAAATATCATATCCCATTTTAGAGCTGAGTTTTAATACGACAAAACATTTTTAAAAAAAAGTGTCAAATTTGTTTAAAAGGTAAACATGCATTTAAGGAAACTTCAATTCTTTCACTATATATCATTGTCAAAACGAGCTATTTTCTAGAAATTGAATGAAAGAAAAGACATTAAAAAACGTGTTCATTTATTGTTAACGGTGTAAAAATAGCACTCAAAGCCTCAAAGGGGCAACAACAACATGAAGAACATAATACGATCCAACAATGCCAGATACGCTACAAAGCTAAACTTCAAAGCAAATCAAGAAAAATAAAAAGATTTCGCGCATCTGATACCATTCATCATTCTCTTTCTTTTTTCTATATTAATTTTCCCTTCACGTTTTCTTTGGGCCAAGCAAATCAAAACCAATAAAGGGATCTGTGTACTGTAACGTGGGCCCTCCACAAAACCCCCACGTGTCGAACTGAAAAGTGGTACCCCACCTGTCAACTATCCACAACACGACACGTGTCCTTCTGGACTCACTCGCCCCACGAGAGGGACCAAATTGGAAAGACAGGCTCGAGAACCGTGCATAAAGGGTCCCGTAGGGTCCACCATTGGGCCCCACACCTAACACTCACATGAATGACCACGATCAACCCTCACCAACTAAGAAAATTAAAGACAACGAGAGTAACGGGAGAAATTATTAATGCATTTAAATAAAAAAAAAAAAAAGATTTTTATCACTGATTTTAAGTACATTTACATAAAATTCAAAGCATGCCAACTTAAAATCAATAATAAAAATCTTCATAAAACATGGAATAATAGTTATTCTAATTAATTATTTTTTTTTAAAAAAAAAAATTATAGTACCCTCCTTGCACGGTCCACGGAGCAGCACCACCATTGGGTCCCCACCTTCCCCTCCACTTTTCGTGTTGACCCACACGAAAGTGGTCCCCACCATTTTTAATCCGACCTCACGTGCGCACGTGCTCTTCTTCTTCGCTTCCCCTAAACGACGTCGTTAACGGCGGAAACCACAACCTGATTCAACGTTCTTCTCTTTCTCAATCTCAATGCTTCGAAGAAGAGCGTGACATGAATTGAAGCTCTTGCCTGTCGTAGATTTCAAGCGAGAAATCTCTCAGCATCTGCGTCGTCGTGACGCCGGATACGGCGGAGGATGCGGTGGTGGTCGGAGCCATGGAGGTCGCTCTCGCCGGCGATTTCGACGACGGAACGGAGGTTGAGGTTGTTTGGAGTTGAAGCGGGGTGACCATGGAGGAGACGAAGGCGGAGATTGGACGAGCTATGGTGAAGAACTGAGGCTGGTTCGAAGGTCCAGCCATGGGAGGAACCACGAAGAACGCCCCTGCGGTTGGAACGACGGCGTTTGAGGGTATGGCCCACATGGGGACCACGCCTTGCGGTAACGGAATCGCGGTTTGTTGCGGAATTGTCGCGGTGGCCGATGGGTTCGGTGTTGAGGTTGTTAGTCCCGCGGAGACTGAAACGGCGCCGTCGTTTATGTCCACGTAAGCACTGTTCGCGGGTCGTTTGCGTTTTTTCTTCTCGGGCGGGTCGCCGGATTCCGGGTCGGAGTTTTTGCTGTAGGCTGTTGTTGAAGTTGTTGTGGTTGGGATCTTGAGGGTTCCGTTGACGGACATCGCGATGGCGGGTACGGTTCCGGTGCCGGTGGCGGCGATGATGGCCGGCTCCGCGTGTTCGAGGAGCCACCGGATTGTCTCGCCGTCGGACTTGTGCCCGAGTTCTCGGGTCAGCTGAAAGATCCGGGCCGCGCATGTTGCGGGCATTCGGATCCTCCGGCCTCGACCCTCCACCTTGGTGTGGCGGTCTTTGGTGGAGGCCCTTTTCTGCGGTGGTTGTTGGGCTTGGGCTTGGGCCAAAGCCTTGCTCACTTGCATGGACATGGACATAGACATCCCCGCCGGTACGTGTACCGCCACCGGCATCACGCGTATGGCCGCCGTCGACGGCGACCCATTCTCCGTCTCCGGCTCCTCTTTGGGTCCCTTGGGTTCTCCAAGCTTGAGATCAACGTCTTGAGAAGCTTCGGCAGCCATGTTTTTTGAAGAATGAAAGGTCACAACAACAGCAAAAACAACAACAACAACGTAGGTGGAAGTGTTTAAGGATTGAGGAGAAGAAACGTGTTTGAGTTTGCATAGAATGAGAGTGCAAGTGTGTGTCAATATATATAGCAATGGAGTGTGTTGAGATTTGAGAATGAGAAGGTGGTTTTGTAGCTTATAGAGATAGAGATAGAGAGAGAGAGAGAGGGGTAATAAGAGATGGGGCCCTTGTTATACCGTCCATGATTTTTTACATGGAAAGAAATCTACGGTGATCGTTGATGGACCCATTGAGACTAGGACTCTTGCACGTGATGGGTCCCATCTTAATGGATTGTGTTTGGAGAGTTTTGGTCAATGTTATTCACTACTTGTTTGGTAACCTGAAAAAAAAAAAAAATTAAAGAGAGTGAGAGAGGATGAAAAAGAAGAAATGAATGACAAAAAAGAGTATGGAAGTGAACTTGATAAGATTATTCTTGCATGATTGATTGATGATGGTATGAAATATTTGAGGGATAAGGAAAATGATTTTTTTTAGATTATTTTCATACGCTTTTTTGGAAAAAAATTTAATATGGTATCATCATACATATATAATGGATGATTTTGTGTAAAAATGAAAATGGTAAAGTTTTTATATACTACAAAGTGGAGTTAAAATCGTGACGCTACTTGAGAGATAATAATATATCTCCGACAAGTTGGGATTGTTTTGAATAAATAATATTTGCATGCAAACGATTTGGTACGAGTAATTTTTAATGTATTTGGAATAGACACATATCCAACAATATTCACAAGGCAGCATTACCCATTCCCACTAGTTTAAAGGCGTGGATGCGTTTAAGTAATCATAAATCTAATTATCTAATTGGGTAACAACACAAGAGATTGACGTTAAAACACGAAATATCACACTTAGCCCAAAAGATGGATGATACGAATAAAACACGAACGAAATTGAAAATTCATGATGAAAGAAGAAAAAAAAGAAGTAAAAGAAAAATGGAAGAAAATAGAGGGGACAAAAGGATGCCTCAAAGAAGTGGAAATCCGTTTGCGTAGGAGATTAAGATGAAGAAGAAAAAAAGAAATGACATCATGTAACAATGAGCAGGAAATTGTTCCGCTTTTAGACTGAGAAAGTTCGTGTCAAACAACTTTTATTCAGTGAAAGAAAACAAACAACTTGAAGAAAAAAGAACCAAAATAAACAAAAGATGATAGCTTAGTTGGCGTTACAAAACTGAATAGCTGAAGGTGAAAGTATGCATTCAATCCTCCCAAATATCGTTTTTGGAAGAGATTTACAATCTTAATCCCCGAACTCATCCCAAAATGAACTAGTCACAGAACGATGAACTGATTGTAATATTTCCAAAGAAAAAAAAAACCAAAATAAAAGAAAGACAAGAATGACGAAGACCTGAAATCCAAAGTCAATACTATGAGCGTGTGCTGCGTGCATGTATATTTTGGTAGAAGAGCATACAACGTGGTACGTGTGAAATAGTGAATCATTCGGACGTGATGGTTTCATGGAATTTTTAGGATTTTTACAAATTTAATGTTTTTAGAGAATCAATCTATCAAATGATACAAGATTCATTCACCTTAATCGATGGTCTCAAGTTCGAGTTTTGCATATACAATTATGTGAAAAATTTAGTAATAGTTGTACTGTGTTTGTGGTTCTGCCCGACTCGACTAGATTAATTTATTAATAAAAAAAATTAATCTCTAACTTTTGATGATATATAAATATCTCATTAACTAGTGTATAATATTTTTTCATTTAACTATGGAAAAAATATTTTTGCTTTTGCTTGAAAAAATTTATTTTCTATCACACTCATATAAAAGTGAATGAATTCTTTTTCTCTCTTTCCACTTTATATATAATGGGGCTCACTCACTTTTATGTAAGTATGTCAAAAAAAAAATTCCAGCAAGAACAAAAATATTAAACCCTTTAACTATTTAAATAAAATATAAATAAATACTCATTATATTTATATTTATGTTAACATAAGTTGGATAATTGAAGAAAATATTAATTTATTTTTACTTTTAAGTTATACCGATATGCTGATTAAAAATTAAAAAAAAACATAAATATAAGTTAAATTTTTAATGTTTTTATATTTGATTTAGGTAAAATGATATATTTTAACCATATATTTTTCTAAAAGTTTGATATTCTCATGTTTTAAATAAAATCATTTTAATATGTTAAAAATAAAATTATTTACAGACTTCAATGTAATATTTTAATATTTTACGTGAGTTAATTCTTTTATGATTTTAAAATTCTTATGACAAATTGATCTCGAGTTAAATCTTTTTCTTCATCTAAATGATCAGTAGACATATATATGGCATGAACATATCTCTTATCTAAAAGTTTAAGTTTTTGACACAATAAAATTAGTATCAATTTTAATTATTTGAATAAAATAACCTTATTAACATTTTGATTATAAATTCATAGATCAGATTAATCTAAACACGCCCTCCTTAATTAGGATGCTCTATTTTCATGTGTTTTATTTATATATTTTTGACATGCATAGTTATTTAGATGAGATGCAAAATAATAACTGTTTATTTTCATTATAAAATAGAATTTCGCATCACTTCGGGCAATGGCGGACCTAGGTAATTGCCATTGTCTGCACTTGAACACATAAAGTTGAAGAAATTTTTTTTTACATAGAGTGTGTTATCAAGTCAAGTAAAATAAAAAATAAAAAAAATAGAAAAATTAAAAGAAAAAAGGTAAAGAGTGGAAGAGAATCACACGAAATTTTTCATATTTTTTTATGAAACGAAACTAGTCAACTTTGGATCAAATAGACATCGACAAAGGTGAGTTTTTAATTGATTAACCCCTACAATTATATTATATTTTACAAATGTCTTTTTGTGGTGTTTATTTATTTTTTAATTATCATTATCGATTATTTCCTTAAAATTTTGATTGATTCACCAAAGCTTTACTTTTTGAAGCAAAAATTGGATTATGATCTTTAAAAAAAACTGGGGGCAGCACCCCCGAACCCCCGACCCGAGTGTCATACATAAAGAAAATTTTATGAGTCCGCCATTGACTTCGGGTGTGCATAACAACCTTCCCATAATCAAATTTTTTTCAAATTTTGTTCCCGAGAACAAATAGAACGAAACAAAGTTTGACAAAATGGTTTTTTTTTTTCCCGAGAATAAATCGGTTTAATTTCTATGCTGGAGAACAAAAAAAAGAATAAAAAAATTTCTGTTTTTGTTCCCAAGCACAAAATGAGAAACACTTGTCTCTCTCAATTACTTTTCACCACTACCATATTCACCACCACCACCATCCTGACTCGAACACCACCATCATCGTCGTACCACCACCGCCACCACTACCACGATGTCATTGCCACCATATTCACCACCATCTCTACCACCATGCCGCCGTCACTACCATCATTGTTACCACCACCATTACTGCCACCACTACCGCTATTACCACTACCGTCACCAATAACCACCATCATCGTCACAGTCATCCTCTCAGCCACTGCCGTCACCACCACCACCATGTCATCATCATCACCATTACCACCATCACCACGCCAATACCGCCACCGCCTCCATTACCACCACCATCGCCGCTGTTGGGTATGGCTCATACTTCGCATGCTGATGAGGGCCTAATTATCGGAGTCAGTAGAAAGGCAACTGGGGTTCCGCTCAGGGTGAGCGGACGGGGGTCCGGGGTGTAGCGCCCCCCGGCCCGTAGAGGCTAGGTACTATTGTGGGCCTCTGTTCTATTGTAATTTTTTTAGCAGTTTGGGCTTGGGCCCATGAATAGCTGTTGTTAGGGTTTTCTAATCCTATTTATATTTTCCTTGTAAACCGAGTGACTTGTATGGCGGTGAGGAGAATATAGTACAGACAAGCTGGACGTAGCCTTAATTGGGTGAACCAGGGTAAATCGTTGTGTCTATTCTCTCTCTCTTTCTCTTTTTTCTTTTCCATTTTTGATTTGTGTGTTGTCGATTTCCAACAGCCGCAACCACTGCCGTCTCCACTACTGCCACCGCCATCACCACCACCACCATCATCGCAGTCATTGTCGTCACCACCACCACTACCATCACAATGCCACCACCACCACCACCATCACAATGCCACCACCACCATCATGATGCCACTATCGTCTCCTTAAATCTCTCCTCCTTTAGCCTAGAACACCTCAGATAATATCCATCCCGCCAAAGGCCCAAATCATTACGCTAGAGGCCTCTCCCTAACAAACTCACCAGGCTCAACCGTGTGTTATCCAGTCCAATAGTTATTGGACTAATCAATTTGGTTCATTGTTAGAGAGATACAAAATAAATAATTTAGCCTCCCCCAACACCTTAAAGTTTTGGGTTGGATTGGTTCTTAACATGGTATCAGAGCTTCAGTGACCACAAGGTAACGAGTTCGATCCTCACCGCCCCCCACTTTCAGGTGGAATTAAGAAAAGCACAAGGCAGATCAAAAGAATGGGCTTGTGCAGCACAAGGCAGACCAAAAATGGGTTTGTGTCATATCCACGTTTCAAGCCTAAAGGGCTCTTACGTGAGGAGGGTGTTAGAGATATACAAAATAAATAATTTAGTTTCACCCAACACCTTAAGATTTTGCGTTGAATTGGTTCTTAACATTCATAAAATAATTAAAAAAAAATTGTTATTTTTGTGCCGTTGGATTTAGTTTATATGATGTTTTTGCATTCGCAGAATTAATTTGTGCATGTATGTGTATATGGCAATAACGATAATTGAAGTGAGGTAGTCATTAAAATATCATATTAGATGTTATCAAAAAAAAAATAAAAAAAAATATCATATTAGATTCGAGATATTTTATCTATTTTGTTCCAATTTTTTTGTTAAAAGTATTATTTGCATGCATGTTGTTGGATTCTCGCATGCCTCGTTTTAATATGATGACATTATGTAAGGAAATCTCAGCCATACATAATTTTTAATTATAAATAATGGTGAATTTCATGTTAGAATTACATAGAATCTTGATTAGCTTTAATAATAAATAAATAATTATCAATTAAC